ATTATCAAGTTTCCCACGAGAAGGGGAAATACAGATTTTCATTCAAATTTCCCAATTCTCAAAAGCAGGCAACTAATGCAAAAGTTTTTGATTATATGAACTGAATATGTTTGTAAGGCAGGTGTGGTTCATGGGCTACCATTTCGCACCTACTCTTTCACATCTAACAGATTTTCTTGTCCTTACTTATGACACTGAAGAAGGTTCGGAATATTTACTGACTGAATAAATAAATTACAACAAATCAAATACGTAGTCACACATATAGCTCTGTTCTTCTTCATGCAATACAGGTCACACAAATTAAAATACAAACAAAAAGTTATCTCTTTTTCTAAAGTAACCAAATGCATAAAAACAGAAAGGACATATTTACCAGGGGCTGGGGGTGGGGAAAAAGGGGACTCATTTAATGGATACAGAGTTTCAGTTCCACAAAGATGAAAAGGCTCTGGAGATCACAACAATGTGAATATAGTTAACAGGACTGAACAGCTCACCTAAAAATGGTTAAGATGCTAAATCTTACATTATGTGCTTTTTAATTCCAATTTTTTAAAAAGTTACCTCTTTTATTTTGAAATATGCTTGGCCCTTGATTTTTGCAGCAATGGTAAGAACTTTGGTATCAAAAACGAACTGAACAAAAGCTTTCAAATTAGACCAGAATATCAGCTGAGTGTTGCTTAAAGAAGATATGATTTTCCAAGCCAGGTCAAAAGACTCTATGCAGAGTGATTCAAAGGAGGTCAGAAGCTGGTAGAAAAAAAAAGAAAGAAATACATAATTACCACAATTTCAGAAACAGATGTCTGTTCCTATGGTTATTCTTCAATTCATGTCTCCCTGTGTCTTTCTTACCTTCGGAACCAAAATTTTCATGCAATGGAACACAGGTAAAACTTGATCAGAAGGAAGAATTGTGAGGGCTTCCAGTGCAGACTGCAAAGTCCTTTCTGGCATCTGAACAGCAGGCAGAATGGGTTCCAGAATTTCACCCTCTGAGGTTGGTATAAGGGTGTGATATTTTTTCAACAAGAAGGAGAGGCAGACCCACCGATCATGAATATATTGTGCAACTATTTTCCCCCATCCTTGAGAAGATGATGATTCTTCAGAAAAACTGAGACAAAAAATAAAGTCAAATAAAGTCACTACTCCATCCTTCCTTAAGTCTGTTTCAGTGTCTTTTGTATGTAGTAAACTATCCTTATAAGGGGAGAAATTAAAGTCATTATTAAATGTTGTCTCCCAAAACACAAGGAAACCACATAAACCTCCAATCTCTAACTACCCTGAAAGTAGCTATTTTTCACTCATTTTAAGTGATTCGCTGACAACTAAATGCAGAAAAGCGAATGGGTTCCCAGTGACAGAGATGAGGAATGCGATAATACATTATCTTCCCAAACTCAGCCTCACCTCTAAGCTTCCACGCCCCTCTAAGTGAGCCGGGCATTCACTAACTCTTCCAATGACTCAAACAAAAACACATCTTTTTTCTTGGAGGGGGTACATAATTAGGTCTGTTTATTTATTTAATGGAGGTATTGGGGACTGAACCCAGGACCTTGTATATGCTAAGCACATGCTCTACCACTGAGCTGTACCCACCCTGCAAAGTACATTTTTAAACATTAGCAAAAAGTCGCCTTTTGCGTACATATGCCCCCTCCTCCACTGGCTGGTGAACACACCTGCTCTCTCCATCAGTGCGGGGCTTCTGCAGAGTCTGATTGAGCGGAAGAGAGCAGAGAAGCCTCCCCATGGGTCCAGCATCCAGAGAGTCCAGCTGTAGTTCTGGCTTCTGGTCAGTGGCCTCACAGACCATGGCCAAGGAGGCCATACTGACGACTCCCTGAATCTGCCTGCCAAGCGTCGGCTCCTGAGGAGGAAACGGACGATGTGTCAGGTCCTCACCAGGAAGGGCCTGAGTCCCCGTCTGCGGGAACCTCACACCCTCCTCTCCCTCCTCCAGCCTGCTACACCACCAGGTGGAGGAGAAGGAAATTTGACACACGCCGTTTAGTTTTACTGTTTCTGTACAGGTTGGTGGCAAACAAACTTAAGAGTGGCAATGACTTCGAGCAATTCAGACTGAAGACAATTTGGATACAACTTTCCTATGAGTGAGTCTTATTTTAACTGTTTGGCTGAAGTATTTTTCAAAAAAGGGACTCCTGGTATACCCACAGACACCTCCTTCAGTCAGCCTGTGCTGCTTCTGGAGATGTGACATCGCTGGGCCCACGAACCGCAGGGCCCAGGGCTGAATCCTGCCTCTGCACTTTCCAGCGGTCCGACTGTGGACACACTACACTTAGTTTTCTCATCTGCAAAATGGGAGACAGTAATAGAACCCACTTCACAGGATGACTGTGAGGGTTAGATAAGTGGGTTATTTCACGTACAGCACTGGTAGCTCTACAAGAAGGAGCACAAAGGAAGAAAAGGGGACAGCCTGGCTTCGCGCTTAGATCAATCATCTCCAACCAAGGGGCCAGGAGTGCAGGCAAGAACCCAGATGGAGGAAACAGCTTGCCCGGGAGACCAAAGCCCTTTTTCCAAATACTGCCAACCAGTGTGTCTCCATGGAGGGGAGCCTTTTATTACTTCCCTGTAGCTTCCCTCACCCCACCAAAGTAAACCAGGCATCTCTGCAAGACGAATTTTACTTAGCAATGCCATCAACACAGGAAATAAAATTCAGTGTTACTTTTGAGCCAGTATGGTTCCTATTAACCTAATGTAACTCAGTGAATCACTAAATAAAGCAAGCTTAAGAATCACTGTGGTGTGGTTCACGATTCTGGTCCGCATTTGAAAATCACAATGTCCTGCCCTAGCACTGATGTAACACTAACATGCAGTAGACAGGATGCTGGAATGTTCATCAGTCTTCCTTATAATTTTCTTTTAGGACATTTCCTGAAAACTACTTTAAAAAAATCAGATTATTAAGGCAACCAAGTCGCTATTTAAATTAGCAGCCTGGACTAGAGTATGATTCAACTCAACTTTTTAAAACTCTTAACATATGTTAAGTGAAGACAGCTAACATTTACTGAAGACTTTCTACGTGCCAGGGATTGTCCTAAAGTTTTGACATACTTGAGCTTGCTTTAATTCTATCAGCCCTCTAACCCTCATTTTGCAGGTGCAGTCCATGAGGCACAGAGGGGCTGATTAATTTCCCCAAGGTCACACAGCTAGCAAGGATAAAGCCAGGATTCACATCAGGAAGTCTAACTCCAAAGCCTGTGCTCATAACCACTACACCTTATTATATCATGTTTAAGAAACACTTTTAGGTACTAAAATCTAGTGGAGAAGACACATATACATAAATTATTCCAAAAACAAGATGAAAATAAATGCAAAAAGGGACACATAAAGAGCAATAGATAAATGAAGGAAAGAATGAGGCACTGATCCCAGGAGACCTTCAAGAGAAAATGTAATTTGGGATGGGAGGTAGAGGACGGACCAGACACCAACACTTGTGCACTGAGAGAACGCTCGTGGAAGGACTGGACGGGACAGAAGCCCAGATGAGGGAGGACATGGCATGTGCCTGTGATCTTGAAGCCCCACATTGGGGCCGAGAGTGACCGCAGCCCAGGGGGCTCTGTGGGAAGGCAGAGGAAAGGCCAGGGATGACTGGACTTGGGGAGGGTGGGTGAAAGCCAAGGACAGAGGGCTCTGGACACCAGACTGGTGAATGTGGACACATTGAAACGTCCCTTCCTGGCATCCGGGCCAAACACCTAGTGAAACTCCACTAACTGTATCTAAATGATTTTAAGGTTGAGGTCATCACACCTAATAGGAGTCCCAGTCGTCATCCAATATTATGAACAAAGGATATTATTTAAAAATTGAATTTCAGTAGGTACCCTTTGTTATCAAAATATGGTTTATTGGTCAAATATGTATTCCATGCGCGCCTCATTCAACCTAAGTGCAAACCCTGAAGTGGAGAAGATTACCTGTCCACTGTCCATCTCCTGAAGATGCAGCATGGATGCGTTTTTCAAAGGAGAAATAACTCTCCAAATAGGGTTACCTCTTTTCCAGCCAACCTTCAGATGGAGATTTATGAGCTCAGTTAATACCATCAGGTATAAACGGCAACGGTCCAGATCTGAAATCTAAGACACAAAATAAAACGCTTAGTAAGCAGGGTCCATGGTTTTCACAAAACTAGGAAAGTTCAGGAAGGAAATAAATCAGTTTATTAAAAGTACCCAGCGAAGACATGGACAAGAGGAAAAGTCATCTCCTCTAAGAAGCCTTCCATCACCTCCCCAGGTGGAGCTGAGCACGTCCTCCTCTGCGCTCACACGGTGCGTCTGTGTTCAGCACCTCAGAGCTAGTAAGCGAGAGGGGCAGAATGAAACACAGGCCTTTACCTGGCGGGAATGGGTTCCGCCCAGCTCCACCGCTCACCAGCTCTGGGACTGGTGCAAGTTACCTAACATCTTTGGGCCTCAGATTCCTCATCTGTAAAACGGGGAGGGCAGTATCCCCAACACAGGGTTTTTGGAAGAATTAAGTGAGAGCGTGCCGGGCGCAGGTGAGATGCCCTAGACAGGAGAGAAGGGGAAGGGAACGACCAGGGCCACGCCGGAAAAACTCCGACTCCCCGGGCTACAGAGGAGAGAATGGACGGGTCCCGGCAGTAACGGCCAGAGAGCTGGGCAACGGCAGGAGGCGATGATGTCACAGTCGCTGGCATGTCCAGGACAAGCGTCCAATGTGCCCACTGGGGCTGAGGGATCAAGAAAGACGGAGTCTGAAAAGTCTCGGGCAGCTGTAAGACAAAGGAGCCCCCGACAACTTCAGAGTCAACCATTTCTGAACGGAGCTGAGGGGCCTGTCTACAGATTAGTTCACAAAGAGAAGGACACAGGGTGCCAGGAGGAACTGCAAGAGGGTTCCTGTGAGACGAGGTGCTCTTAGAGCAGTTTCAATGCTCATGAAAGGAGTCCAGGAGGAAAGAGAGGTTAAAAACACCAGAAAAGGAGGATGGCCAGTGGGGTAAAGTCCTCAGGAAAATGGAAGAGGACGGAAGCCAGACTGCCTTCCCCTGCAGAGACAAAGGGAGGCAAGGTGGATGCAGGTGCGGACAGGTGTGCAGGCACTGGACAGTATGAAACAAATGACTCAGCCACGGCTGCGGTCTCCTCTGTGAGTAAAGGGCTGAGGCAGCCTGCGCTGCAGGGGACGGTGCATCTCGCCCCAATGCATGGCCTCACAGTGGTGGCTTGAAATCAGCCACGGAAATGGATAAACACTACAAATCAGGGCTTTCCCCGACCTGAGAGCCAGCTGACAAATACTGACCATCATGCTGCTGAGGTGAGGCAAACTGAATGTGAGGTTAGGGAAGAGACTTTTATTTAACTCTAATAAGCTACCGAAGAAATGTACTTAATTGGGAGTTCTAGCAACTCACTAAAGAGTGAATTTTTCAAAATAATTTTAAACTGTCATATACTGCTTTTACTTTTTGAAATCTTTGCATCTAGAAGACAAACAAGCATTTCTCCAATGAAGACATACAAATGGCCAATAGACATATGAAAAAATGCCCAATGTCACTAATTATCAGAGAAATGCAAATCAAAACTACAATGAAGTATCAACTCACACCAGTCAGAATGGCCATCATTCAAAAGTCTACAAATGATAAATGCTGGAGAGGGTGTGAGGAAAAGGGTATCCTCCTACACTGCTGGTGAGAATGTAGTTTGGTGCAGCCACTATGGAGAACAGTATGGAGATTCCTCAAAAAACTAAAAACAGACTTGCCATATGACCCAGCAATCCCACCTCTGTGTATAAATCTGGGGGGAACTCTTAATGCGAAAAGATACATGCATCCCAGTGTTCATAGCAGCACTATATACAATAGCCAAGACATGGAAGCAACCTAAATGTCCACAGACAGATGACTGGATAAAGAAGCTGTGGTATAGTTATACAATGGAATACTACTCTGCCATAAAAAAGAATAAAATAATGTCATTTGCAGCAACATGGATGGACCTAGAGATTGTCATTCTAAGTGAAATAAGCCAGAATGAGAAAGGAAAATACCATATGCTATCACTCTTGGGAGTTTGAGATTTGCAAATATTAGCCACTATATATAAAAATAGATTTTAAAAAATTTCTTCTGTATAGCACAGGGAACTATGCTCAATATCCTGTAATAACCTTTAATGGAAAAAAAATATGAAAATGAATATATGTATGTATATGCAAGATTGGGATATTGTGCTGTACACCAGAAACTGATATATTGTAATTGACTGTAATTCAATAAAAAATAATACTAAAATAAAATCTTTGCATCTAAAAGATAAAATCACATTAACATTTCCCTTTCTAAAGCTATTTTTAGCTTCAAATTCGAAACAAACAGAAACATTTATGTCATATAATGGGTACACGGAAGTTCATTATATTTCTTCTGTGTATGTCTGAAAATTTCCATAATAAAAAGGTAAAGCAATACTGATAATAATAAGTGATATTGGAGCAAAACAAAAAAATTTATTTCTTTATTAAATCCTTTCTTGGAAATTCAGGGATAGCAAAACTACTGTTAACCATTGTTTACTCAGTAACTCCATTAAAAAAAACAAACACGAAACCATTGTTTAATAAGGAAAATGCTAAACCCCCCCCCCAGTCCAGGAGGTTTCTCTTGCCTTCCTATCAGAGTATCTCAAGTCTTTTACTATAAAACTTGTCTTTTTATATTTTCACACCTGCTTATCAGCTATCAAACAAATGTCCTTAACTGGATAGTCTAATAAAAGCTCTTGAAGTAAATATATTGTCTCACTCTGTTGACAATCTGATGATTCTAACTGTCTTAACATTTGTCTCTAGAGATTTCAACTTCCCCCCAAACAAATTAAGAGTAATAGGCATTTGTAAAAATTCGTATTTTCAAAATATTCTTGAAAGGAGAAAACTTTATTAATTTTTTCAGATGTCCTAGAAAGAACACATGAAGTGGAGCAGAGACAGAGAAGACAGCTACCTTCACAGAGCATCTTCTTTGCCTCAGACCGGTTGTTCTCAGCTCTAACTGCATTTCGGAATCACACACAGGGCTTATACCGTATGTGTGCTGAAACCCCGGTCCCATCCCCCAAACCTGCCAAATTAGAACTTCTGGACCCTGGGACCAATGAGCACTGAATATGCTAAGTATTTCAAATATCTTACACCATCTGAAACTCCCTAAGCCCTGGGAAGCAGATGTATTATCTCCACTTTACAGATGAGGAAACTGAGGCTCCGAAAAGCCACACAGCTTTACCGAGGTCACAGTTATTGGAACTAGGACACTTCAAAGCTTAAAACTTTTCTGCTCCCTAAGGCCACTTTTCAAGAAACTATTACACTAAAGTAATTTTTAATTTAATACAGTGTCTGCCAGTCAATAATCACTCAAATACCGATGAAAAGACTGAAAGTTACTCCAATAAATACTTACACTATTTAGTTCATTCATAGTAAGTCTTCTGAGAATAAATTCAGAAATGCTCTCTGAGGTGGACAAGATAAAGTTCTGAAGAAGGGTAAACACCTCATCTGTATGGGGGAAAAAAAAGCATGCAACTAAAATGATAGAAGTTATTTGGTACAAACTAGACCAGATATTCTAGTAAAAGTTCAACTGCGTTAAGCATATGTGTGCATAATTTACCAAAAATGAATTCTAGTATTGGCCACTAATATGGGGAAATCTATAACTAACCTTAAAAATCATTTAGGAGTTTTAGTTCTGGGTCTGATGAAACAGGGACATGCCACCCTCTCTCACTGAACACAGATACAAAACCTGGGCAGAATATTTGAAACAGCCATTTGAAGACTCTGAAAGGCAAAAAGCAGCAGATGGATTCAGGCAGATGTAACTGGGAAGAGCAGTGAGTTTTCGCTGGTCCTCCTGCAAACTGGAACCAGATGTCAGAGCAGTCAAGAAAGCGTGCAGCAGGATGGGCCCCAAGTTTCTGGTCAGGGAATGAAAAAGGAAAATCCCAGAGAACCAGACAGTGAGTCCTTAGAAGATGCCAGAGACAGAGGTGCTCAGGAAAGCAGTCCCAGCAAGTGGTTTATGAAGTGCTGGGCTCACCCGAGCTGCTCTGCTGGTATACAAGGCTCAGCACATCACAGACTTTGGGACCTGACCTCACAGAGACAACCATGCAGGTCCCAGCCTGGCCACTGGATGGAACACCTGGGGCGCAGGTCAAGACAGCACCGCAGAGGAATTGAAAATAAAACTGACAGTGGAGCCGGCCCCCAAGGAAGCCTGAGCGTCAGGAACAGAGGCTGAAATCAAGCGAGGCTGACCGTCTGCTAAACAAAAATGTCAACGCTGTCCACAGGAGTTCAACAAGACACAGTGTCTCATAACATGATATTCCAAATACCTAGGGTACAATCCAAAATAACTGGGTGTCCGAAGCAAGAGGAAATTCCTAGCTCACGTGGGAGAAGAACACACAAAAGACAACACCAAGATGATGGTGAGGCTAGAATCATCAAAGACTTGAAAGCAGCTACTAAAAAATGCTCCCGCAGTCAATCCACACACACTCTTGAAACAGAAAATGAAGTCTCGGCAAAGAAATAGCAGATTTAAGCAAAAACCAAACAGAAATTCTGTAATTGAAAGTACAATAACACGTTTCAGAAACTCACTGGATGGGATCAGTAACAGAAAGGAGAGGCAAGAGGAAAGAACCAGTGAACTTGAACACAGATCAGTAAAACATGCAACGTGACGCGGCATAACCAAACTGCTGACAACTGCAAACAAAGAAACAATCTTGAAAGCACGAAGAAAGGCTTATGACCAAGGAGGAGAATGATGTGAATCACTACCGACTTCTAATGAGAACCCGCGGAGGCCCAGAGCTCACGGGATATCTTTCAATTGCTGGAAGAAAAGACCTATAAAACTAGAATGTTAGAGCCAACAAAAATATTCTTCACCACTTACCAAGAAAAAAACACAATCCTAAATATAGATTCTCCTAACAGACCTTGAAAATACATGACACGAAGCTAACAGTAGACAAAGGAGAAAGGGACAAATCCAAAATTGTAGTTGGACTTCAACACTCTTAAAATCAGCAAGAACATAAAGCTGAAAACACCACGAAGCTCTTGGATACAATGGACATTTGCAGAACATTCCACCCGACAGCAGAACACACATTCTTTCCAAGTGTGCATGGACCGTTCACCAAGGTAAAGCACACCCTAGGTCATGAAACAAACCTTGACAAGTTTTTTGAAGCTGAAATTGTACAAAGTATGCTCTCCGACTAGAATAGAACTAAATTAAAAAGCACTAACAGAAAGGTAACAGGAAAATCTCCAAATACATTTCTAAATAATTCATGGATAAAAGAGAAAGTCTCAAAAAAGTTAGAAAGTGTTTTGAACTGAAAATACAACATATCAAAATTTGTGGGATGCAGCTAAGAAAATTCACTGTGTTAGATGTCATTTTTAAAAAGATCTAAAAACAATAATCTAAGCTTCTACCTTAACTTCAATAAAAAGGCAAAATAAACCAAAAGCAAGCAGAAAGAAGCAAACAAACAAACAAAAAAAGAAATCAATGAGACTGAAAAGAGAAAAATCAATGAAACCAAAAGCTGGTTCTTTGAAAAGATCAATAAAGTATCAACCACTAGCCAGTCTTAGAGAGACAGACAGAGAAAGAGGACACAAATTACCACTACCATTACCAAGAATAAAAAAAGAATTCCTTCAGACCCCAGATTCTGCAGGCATTAAAAGGATAAGGGAACACGACAGACAACTAAAAATATAACTGCCGCATTCACAAATGACATCATTGTCTAAAAAAAAATCCCAAGGAATCTATTAAAAAAACTTCTGCAACTAATAAGTGCTTCAGCAAGGTTAGAGGATATAAGGTCAACACAGAAAAATCAGTCCTATTTCTGTACACTAGCAATGCACAACTGAAAACCAAAAATCTTTTAAATATACCATTTACAATAATCTTCCCACAAAAGGTATAAATCTAACAAAACCTGCACGGGATCTATATGCTGAAAACTAAAATACTCTGATGAAAGAAAATAAAGACAGCTTAAATAAATCAGGAGACATATCACATCCTTGAATTAAAAGTCTCAATATATAAAGAGTAATTCTCAAAAAATTAATCTGTAGATTTAACAAAATTCTAATTAACTCCAGCAAGACTTTTTTTCTTTTGGTAAATACAGACAAGCTGATTATAAAGTTTATATTAAAAGGCAAAGGAACTAAATAGCTAGAAATATTTTTGACAAAGGAAAATAAATTTTAAAGAATCAAACTATCTAACAGCTTTTTATAAAGCTACAGTAACCAAAACAGTGTGGTGTTGGCCAAGGGATAAATATATCGATCAATGGAACAGAGTCTAGAAATAGATTCACACAGATATGGTCAATTAACTATTTTTAAACAACTTTAATGAGTAGTACTTGCACATAACCTGCACACACTCGCCCATATACTTTAAATCATCTCTAGAATACTTATAATACCTAATGCAAATAGTTGTAAATACAATGTAACTGGCTGCCAGAGTGCAGCAAATTCATGTTTTGCTTTTTTGGAACTTTCTGGGGTTTCTCTCCCCAAATATTTTCAATTAATGGTTGTTTGAATCCAGAAGCATGCAGGGCTGACGGTACCAAGTTATTTTTTATTTTACCATTACGTGTTTGTTGACCTCTGTGCTAGTAATTCATAGAGTATTTACTCATTTATAAACTGGAGATAACTATTTTCCTCTTCGCCCATCAAAGAAATCCTTTCAGGATTTAGGTCCATTTAAAGGTAATGAAACTTCATACGGTTGGTTTACCAGTTACCTAGAGGTCCACTGCTATCAAAATTAACCAGAGATTTCTTTGGCTCTTACTTGTGGTATAAAAGGAGAAATGCTTGAGGAGCAATGGGCATGCTTACATTCTGCAGGTGAGAACGTAAAATGCATACATGGCTACTTAGAAAAACAATTTCACCTTATCTTAAAAGCTGAAAACGCGTGTGCCCTAGGAACCAGTAATTTTGGTCCTGGGGGTACATATACTGCAGAAACAAACAGACCCAGAAGACGCACGTGGACAAGTGTTCAAGGCAGCGCTGTACATAAGAGTAATAAACTAAACACCATCCGATGTCCAGCAGCAGGAGAACCGGTAACTCTGCTGTCACCATACAATGGAAGATAACGCGGCAGGCGAAACAATGATGTGTAAGAAAAGACAGGGATGAGCCTTGGAAACATGCCAAGTGAAAAAAGTGACAGGAGACTTCTTACAGAAAAGTAACACTTCCCTAAAGCAGGAAAATGAGACTACTGTTGAGGAATAGCTATGTATGAAGCAAAACCATTTTTTAAGTGCACAGAAGCGATAAAGGTAAGTCAAAATAAGGAGAAAAACGCAGGGATTGAGGAGTAATGGGTAAATTCGTTCTCAGGTTGGGAGGTGAGTTCATGGGTATTTAATTATTCTGTATCATAATTTACATATAAACACCACATATTTTTGTTCTGTTCCAAGTATCACAACAATTTTCCAAAAGCACCTGTGACCCAGTCCTGAACCTGAGAGCATGGATCTGAGCATTTTCAACAGTTAAGACATCTCGAATGAAACCAAATTTACGCCCTGAGAGGAGTTCAAAGTCTTATAAAAAGTAATGGTTATGTGTAGGCATTTGGTTCTGCTACCATTTTCAAAAATATCAGAACTTGGAAACTAGCTTTAATATTTCATAAGCCTATACTAAAATCTAACCCTTCAATATTACCCTCAGGTTTAACCTAACACTAATGCTTCTCTAGAAATTTTTTATTTTTAATTTTTGGGGGGTGTAACTAGGTTTTTATTTGTTTATCTTTAATGGAGGTACTGGGGATTGAACCCATGACCTTGTGAATGCTAGGCATGCACTCTACCACTGATCTATCCCCTCCCTCCCTGGAATATTCTTTTTTAGAGAGAAAAATTCTAAAATTTCAAATGAAATTGGTCAGAAAGATTGGGAATCAAGGCTTACCCATTGCTATTCTCATCTCTAAGGTCCGTGGATCTTCAGCTACTGTTTTACATAAATCTTAGTTTAGGGAGGAGGGAGAAACGTCTCAACACGTCTGCCTGACACCACTCTACTTCCTGTGGGAAGTATTTCCCACCTAGAGGTGCTTGGGGATGAACATATTTAAAAATAAATAAAAATAAGTAATCATAAAATTATGGCCATTCTCATGGTTTAGCTTCCTTTCTGCAACATCTAGCATAGTGGCAATTAGAAATGCATCTTTCTTAAAAACATACATGAAAGAACAATGATCATTTTTGACAGTCTGTAAATTAATGAGCGCACATAAATTTTTTAAAAAATACTAAAAGCAAATGAAATCACATTCTAAAATCAACAGTAACCAACAAATGCAGACACTAAAATGTCAGCGTCCTGAGGGCTGTTTGCTCCTTTACCTCCACAACCCCAGCACCACCAGGAGATGCGCGGTGAGTATCTGCTGAACGCATGATGTTAAAAGGGCAGGAGTTCCCTCTCGTTCCAAGTACCGACGACAGACCAAGCAAGACACCGACAGAAACTACTTATCCTCACCATCTTGGGAACTGGAACCTTTCAACAAGCAAGTGTGCAGTAACTTCAACAGCAACTGCAGGCATCTGTCAGTTCTCAGCAAGGGCATGTAGGCATTTGTGCCAAACTTCACAAGGGCATCCAGGAGAGGGTCTAAGAATATCCTTAATACATTCTGCGTTCTCCGCTTTTCACTAGACATTAAAAGACATGCCCAAATCAAGCATTTCAAAAGCATAAAGGAATTACTTTCCAGCTACAGTTTGTGGAACTGGTTAGTTAACACTTCCATTAGACAGAATTTCTCTTACGGATGATCCAAACACTTAGATCCTACTGGGGCTGGTCCTTCACTCCCATCTTCTCACTGAACTTTCAGTTTGTGCTTTCTCAGTGAGGGCAGTGATTCACCAGACAAGGAAGCACAGGGCACACATACCTCCTCGACTCTAGGCACCAGTATGAGGAAAATCCTATACCCAATTTATCTGCAAATTAAAATGCTGAGACCCTGCTTCCATAATTCAAAAAAAAAAAAAACAACAAAACCAAAAAACCAAAAATATATGCTAGTCAAAGAAATGAGACACATTAACCAAAAAAATACAAAGAATTAAAGATTTGTGAAAAACTGTTAACCAACTTTAGTACTAAAACTTTGTCTAGAAGAGATCTGATATTAATCAATTAACTACATTATCATGCATATATCCTACCTAATGAAGCTCCTTTTTGCAACATTTATAATTTAGTGAGAATTAATCTGCTCCTATTTCTCAAAATATAAATGAGTCTTTATTATCTTTAAAAAAAAAACTACACATATCACAAAGGGGTAAAATCCAGTAAATGTCTTAACCTAATCTTATGCTAAGATCTTACAACCCATTCTTAAAGCAAAGATTCATGTATATAGTTGGGTTTTTTTTTTTGACCTTCTCTAGTTTAAACCTCTAGTCCTATTAATTTGTTGTTAATATTCAACATTTCTTTAGTATATGGCCAATGTTCTAGTTCCCTCTGTTAATGCACTGTGATCAATTCCGTACCAGTCGTTGAGAAGTCTATGTACCATAAATTCAATTGACCTTTAAATTTAAAAAAAAAAGCTTTCTTTTCAAATTTAGAAACACTTACCTATATTGACTCCTCATTCCTTCCACATCTACGGCCAGCAAGACCATCAGAGCAACAAGCTTCGCTTCAAACCAGTCAGGCATGCAGCACTTTTCTCCTCCTTAAATAACAACAGTTAATGTTTGCAAAGCATTAACAAAATCCTTCCAAGACACTGTTTCAAAAATAAAACAGCTAAATGTCTGTGTTTCATCAAAATTAGATTAGAGAAATTCAGCTGAGATGAAATGTGGCAGAACACCCTACAGGATGGCTCATTTTTACACACATAGGTATGAATAGCAACATATTGCTGCAGGGCGACTACACGACATTTTCCAAGCTCTGAAAGCTCTTCTTACTGCTGTTTCCAAACCATGTCTCACTTTCTCTAACTCAAAAAGCCTGTTCTGAAAGCTC